ATCACCAGTTTAAGAACATCCGGTGACGATGCACATCCAGAGACTGATACAATAACGGCGAAGTATGAAATAATTGATGCGTCGCCGACGACATTCGGCTTAAGGTGTCCTGGGGGGACTGTTGGTGTGGTAAGTGATGATAAAATGCAAAACATTCGAGAGCTACAAGACACTGTTTATCCTTGAGAAACACTAGAACAAAGGTCGGCAGGATAAACTACCGTAATTCACCCAGACAAGAACTCCCCAAAACTACTATACATGGATCCAGACTGTGTTATTTATGGCGAAGAGTGAGTGTCATTTAAAAGAATGTATGATGAGTGAGGTTGTGCCCGGAAAAAAAAAGAAGAAAAAGATATAAAAAAATGTTTTATCTTGTTACTGAGGGCCCTCTTTGCTCAAGGGCCCCCTGGGCACTTGCCCAGGTTGCCCATATGGTTAATCCGGCCTTGATTACTGCCACATCCATACTGTAGCTCACAGCGCCACAACATTCATCACACTACACAGACGTGATTATCCAGAGACACTATTATAAATCTGATTTAAAGACAAAATGCAGACGGCTTCTGGTCTCAGCCACAGGGTGATGCTGCGGCACAGGCAGTATAAGAGTCCACATATCTTACGTTACAATCTGAAGAACCACATGTTTCGCTTAAACCTTGGTGAATATTACAAAAAAAAGAAAAATGCTTTAAGGACTTTAACTTACGCACCAGCATTTACAATGATATTGCTTGTTTGAAGTAAATAACATGCAAAACACACAAAAAGACAACCAGAAAGTAACATTTCTGTAAAAAAGTATAAAACCCAATGTGTCTGTGTTGAACAGCCCGGTGAGAAGGGCTCCCCCGAGGGAGAGAGGGAGACGGAGCGAGAGAGGAACCAGATGTCATTCGCCCGACACCTCCACACACACCATCATACACATCTGGGTATGAGCTACAACCTGATCTCAGGACAGTACGACATCTACCAAGGTACATCTCACCCACCCAGAAATCAACTGACCAGGGCCGGATAATTAAAGAGTCAAAGAACTTCATAATATCTGAAACTAAAGCTAACGTATAGTAGAGTGTGTGAGGTAACACAGTCCATATGTGGCTTTAATGATCATGTGACTTTGTACTTTTGGTAAGGTAGTTGCTTGTAGATCCATACATAGGGGATACGACTAATGTATAGGTTTAGGAGTCATCACTGCACCTGGACATTTTATTTCTAAACGTGATGTTTCACAGCTGTTTTTCTCTCACTGTGTTGAAGGGTTGAGCTCCAGGTCGCTGGTCTCCAGTCAGCAGGCATCAGGACACTCCTCTACTGGTGGGTTAGTGCTTTAAGTACCAGACTGTGTTCTATTAATCATCATTAATCAAACATGTGTCCTTTTGTTACATAAAAATGTTTCACAAGCCCTGGGAGCAAACGTGATTCAAGGGGATATTTTAATAATGCCTTGATATCCCATATAGCAATGGGATTTATTAATCAAACTTTTGAAATACCTTTATTCATTTATAGGGGTCTAAACGTTTCGTTAGATTCACAATCAATTCTGGATTCAGTTCATTGTCATTTAATAGTAAATTATGACATTAAAGCATGTGTGTATTAAGTATCGGAGTTGTTTTGTTTATAAAAGTTAAATCAACTGTTTGAAATAATGTAAGACACAGAGACCGATTTGAGCAAAAGGTAACGCATTCGTTTTTTAAAGAATTATAATTTCAAGTTACACAAAAAAATGCTGAATGTTACATAAATGCAATTGGGGGGCTTAGGCTAGTTGCCTTTTTTTCTGAGAAGAGGACACATTTTAAAAACGACTTACAATAACACTAAAACCGGTATTTGCTGTAATGCTTGAAACATCTTTGATTTGGTGAATAGGATTTTCGCAATATGTAGTTTCTTTTTGGAGTATTCCTCTTAAAAATATATTTTCGTCTCGATTCTTACATTAACTCTTTTATCTCTGCATTAAAAATCTCAGTTTTTGTTATTTTCCATTATAATGTTTTGGAAAATGAAAAAAAAACATTGAAATTGCAATAAAAGTTTTTTCATGCAAACATTTCTACTCAATATTGTTAAATAAAAGGATATTCTAAAAATATCCGTTTCAATTATTTGCCTGCTCTATACAACAACACACACATATACTGTATATGGTGGCCGACAGGTGCAAACGCTTTGCAATGGCCGAAAATACTTACATTTGGAGAAAGCGCTGCAGCTTCAGAAACGATGCAAATGAAAACACACATATGTGCCAAAACAAATAAAGAAACATCTTCACCAACTTGACAACACATGCTCAGCCTTTAAAAAACATTCACCAACTTCACGAAACTTGCGCAGCATTTACTAAAGCGCTGCAAATACGAAACGCTGCAAAACATAACGGACACAGCTGGGACCGTAGCGCTTGTTGACTTTCTGGGATTATAAAGTTGGCCAACTGTCATTGTCATTGTTACATAAAATAACAATGCGATCACATGATTCCCTTCAATATTATTTCAGATCTACTTGTGAGCTAGGTAGCTAGAGAGTGAGAGTTGGCCAACTGTTGTCCTAGCCACTGGTGTAGTGGGGATTTTTTTACTGGGTGGACGCTATTTTAATTGGGTCATCCCAAACAATGCCACAAGTGTGCACGCGCGCAGTGCACTCACAAAACGGCCACGTCGTTAGGCGGCTCTTCTGATGATGTAGTATAGTAGCAGCTTCACTTGTAGCTTCGGTGCTGCTAGCCTCTTTCTTCTCGTGAATGATATTCCTTTTGGAGAAGAAGTCAAGTAACGTTTTTTGCCTGCATTATAGAGCCGTTTCGTTTGCGTTCTTGAGGGAAAGAGCTGCTGAAAAATCGGCGGGCGGCGAGCTGGTGGTGTCACCCTGGGTTCACGAGCGTGATGGCGAATCATAATCTTTTAAGGAAATTGTTGTTATTCTTTATTATAATTACTGTGAAATGTATTATGTTTTCGTCATTATTACACCAAATACACACTTGCAACTGATAACACTGGCAATGATTTTATATTTATTAGACTATTCAAAAAAGTGGGGGATCCAAATAAGTGGGGGAACGGCGATCCCCTGCGTCCAACGACCATTACACCACTGGTCCTAGCTGTGTGCATCACTTTTTAGTGTCCCCTGGTTTCTATTGTGTTTTGAGCTTCCTGCATCTTTTTTATTTGCAGCGTTTTGTTTATGCATCGAACTAGTAAACACTGCGTAAGTTTCGTGAAGTTGGTGAAGGTTTTCTTAATCCTGCACTTGTGGTCAAGTTGGTGAAGACGTTTATATGCGTGTTGGCTACCGTACGTACACATCATACAAATATACACAAAAACTAGGGCTGTGCAATTTATCGTATTTTAATCGCAATTACGATTTTAGCCTGCCACAATTACGAAATCAACATACTCGAAAAAAACGATTATTTTGCTTTGCTAGGTTGTGACAGTGCACTGCAACATATTTGATCTAATTTATTTTAGTCTAATTTATTTGTATTCATCATATTTATATATGTTTAGTAGCTTGTTGAAGTCCGCTCCAAAATATTTGTTGATCTTGTTTATTGGTATTTATTAATTATGTAAATATAAATGTATCATTTATTTTTGTATTGGTTTTTCAGTTGAATTATACGTTCAGGGTAATCAACAGTTAAAAAGACACTGTTCAAATTATTATTTGTATTTGTTTTAAAGTTCAATAAATGGATGTTTTCAAAGTCAATGAATAATCGTATTTAATAATCGTGATATCAATTATTGACCATAATCGCACAGCCCTAACACAAACATTGCTAAATTTGCCACAATATTCTTGTTAGTTAATATTTGACATTTAGTTTTGAGCTCTCACTGTGAATCACAGACATTTAAATGGCTATTTTCTTTATAAATTCCAAGAATATCAGCTCAGTCGGCTCGCTGAGACTCGTTTCCTAATTGATCCAAAAGCACCATTAGCCAGTTTGCATTATTTTCCATCTATTTTCAGAGGCCATTATATATAACTCTCTGATTGTGTGAAATAATGCAGAAGGAACCTGCCAGGCTGTTAAACAGCATAATGTGATAATTACCTTACTGCTGCACAGCCTGCAGTTATCTATATATGCTAATTGCTGTGAAATAATAGGGATTAACAGAAGAGAGGCTGACAGTGGAAGCAAACACAGAAATGAAGGAAAATACCAGCATTAGGCGCTTTCACACCGGAGTAATTTTCCCAGTATAGTTCTGACATAGTTCCGAAAATGTCACACCCAAAGAATCCGGAACTAGAACTTAGTTCATGAGAACCTTTTCACCCCCTTTTCAGTCCCTGCTAGAGAGCAGGTACTTTCAAAGTACCTGCTCTCTAGCAGGGACTGAAAAGGGGGTGAAAAGGTTCTCATGAACTAAGTTCTAGTTCCGGATTCTTTGGGTGTGACATTTTCGGAACTNACGCCGACACCTCCTCATCTCCACCGCTCCCATGTTTTCTTTTGTGTTGCCATAAGTTAGTCTCTCTCCGTTGATGCGCTGGGCTAATGCTAATAATGCTAATGCTAATAATGCTAATGCTAATAATGCTAATGCAAGGATAATAAAATGGCGGCTTAACAACATTTTTTGGGAGTTTTA